TTGGCCGCACCTCCGAAAAAAAAAAACCCCTCCGCCTAGGCGTGTAGGGTTTAGGGTTTAGGGATCCAACAACCTACTATTTTAGGGGCCGGACTCTATAACAAAGGGAATCATAATCTTCTCTCTTGCGGGGTTCCGGGTTGCAGGTGAGCCCTAAACTCCCAACCCCCCCAACCCTAATCGCTAAGCGAGGACATGGTCTGGTTTAGCCGGGTCCTGCTTCAGATTCCAGTTATGTAGAACCCAGGCACTTAGGTTGGGGGTCTAGGGTTTAGGCTTCCTCCTTTCCTCCGCTGAAATTCTGTTAACATGGCGTCTGTCCCGATTAAGCAGCCGACGAAACCCATAAACAAGTACACAGCTGAAATAGATAATTAAACTGACAGAGAATAGGTCCAGGTGTGTATCTTGGTGTGTCCGACTGTTAATGTGTGCATATTTTATATGTACATATAGGTATAGCAGTCTAGAATTAAGTGAATATACATGAAGTAAAAACCAACAGCTACATGGCACAAATTACATAGACGTACATAGCATAAACGTATGCATGTACATACATATATGTCTATACATATGTACATGTGTATATGTATATTATATATATATATATAAGTGTGTATATATATATATATACACGTGTCTATGTATGTATGTATGTATGTATGTATGTATGTATGTGTACATATGCACATATATATATACATACATATGGATATGAAGTTGTTCATCTCTTGAATTCATTCCTCACACCCTCGGTGCAAGTGCAAGCTTTCTCAGTTCCTGGGGCTCGGAAGCCCGAAGCGCCAGACCCTAAGTCGCAAAATTCTTGAGAGGGTTTAGGGTTTAGGGCTTAGGTTGTAGTGGTTAGGGTTTTAGGGTTTAGGGTTTAGGGGCAGTCGCAATAGGCCTGGGTGCAAAAAAAGGGTTTTAGGGTTTGGGGTTGACGGTTTAGGGGTTTAGAGGTTTAGGGTGTTTAGGGTTTAGGGTCCGTCCAGGCACGAGGAGCCATTGGCGGCAAGTACTTACGCCAACCGGGATCATGGCAAGCAGTGGCTGGCGACACAACCGCCGCAACAGCCTATGCCGCCTGTGTACTTTGGATGCTGTTGAGGTTGATCTTCTTGTACGTCAGCTAATCACTGTGTTATATATTACAAAGCCAAAGCTCCAATCTCTGGGCCCTGGGCCCTGCAGACTTACAAAAAGCCCGTACAAGGCCCACCCTAAGTAGATCTATGGGCCACGAAACCAAAACTTTGAATGGCTTTCAGTTAACCTGATGATGAACTGAGGCACGACGCAGGGCTCTGTCCTCCTCGGCCTACAGTCCCGTGCGAGCCCCCACCCGCTTGCTATGCAGGTGATGAAGCATACTTGCCTTACAGAATGTACGAGGAGCCGTGGATGCCGGCACCCGCGCCTATGGCACCCATGCACGATCCGCAGCTGTGCCCTCCCCCGCACCCCGTCCCTTGTGAGCCAAATCCCCACTTCTATCATCCCGGCCCAGAGCAGCCCCATGCTCACGCACCGCCGATGCCACTTCCACCACTTCCATGCGAAGCTACTCACGGTTTCTACCCTCATCCTCCTATGCACGATCCCCACATGTGCCCTCCGCCCCATCCAGTTCCATGTGAGCCGACGGCCGGATTCTACCCACCCCCGGAGGCACCTCATGCACACCCCATGCCAATGCCATGCGAGCCCCCACATGGTTTCTATCATGCTCCTCCCCCAGAGGAGGCGCGAAGACCCATGCTGCCGGTTCCGTGCGAGCCCAGACCCGGATTCTACCATCCACCTCCGAGCCGCGAGGACCCCATGATGCCGGTTCCATGTGAGCACCGACCAGGATTCTATCATCCTGCCCCAGGGCCCATGATGTCAGTCCATGAACCCACTCCTGGCTTCTACCCTCCTCCGCCACTGCCACCCCCATGCGAGCCTACCCCAGGGTATTACCACCCTGCCTCTGAGGAGCCACGGGGCCACATGATGCCACTCCCATGCGAGCCCAACCCTCAGTACTATCGTCACCCCCATGAAGAGATCCTTAGCAGCTGAATTAGCATCTTTTTCATTTTCTGGATAAGATTCTCTAAACCCTAAACCCCTAAAGCCTCTCCATTGAAATGAAGGTTTAGTCTTGTCCGGGCTTCTGAACTCAGCAACTAAGGACCCGAGGTCACACAATGCCAGCTCCTGGGACGATGTTTCGGATAACATAGGGGCCTTAATTGTTAACTATACTATTTTGGGTGTTCCTTACTATAAGTATAGTATCACGTACCCCAACACCCTAATTATCAAGGCCCTTTTTTAGGTTTGTTTACAGGTTTTGTCGAATTTCATGTTAGGTTTAGGGTGTAGAGTATAGGGGCCTCAATGAAAAGAGACTTGGGTGTCTTGTGCTGTCGGTTTGCAAACCCCTGAACCCCTAAACCCCTAAACCCTAAGCCCTAAACCCCTAAAGCCTAAACCCTTAACCCTTAACGCTAAACCCCTAAATCTCTAAACCCTTAACCCCTAAACCCCCTATCCCAAAACCAATAAAACCATTCAGCCTTGAATCCCCAATTCCAAGCTAAGCCTCCGAGCCGCAAGTCCCCCCATGGTAACATAAATCCTCAAGGTTTTGACGGTTTGGGGTGTGGGGGTTTAGGGGTTTAGGGTTTAGGGCTTAGGGGGTTATTGGGTTTGGGGTGTGGGGTCCAGGGTTTAGGGGGTTATTTTCTAGCTGACTGCAATCCATGCGTGTGAGACCTGGTGACGGCACGTAGAGGGAGGAGAGAAAACGCCCAATCCCGTGTATACCCCAAGCCCTTAAGCCCTACAAGCCCCAGAACCTAAGGCCCAAACCCTTACAAATCCACTTCAAGGAGCCCTGAAAGGATTCCCCAACGAACCCTTAAGGGGAACGCCATTATAGAACCATGCATAGTACCCTTGAAGGGAATCCCATTATAGAACTCTATAGCGTACTTGTTAAAGTACCCCTAAACCCTCTACCCTCAACCCTCAAACCCTAAACCCTGAACCTATAAG